GGGGGACCACCCGCTGCCCTGGGCAGGGGAGACGCAGGGGGACCACCCGCTGCCCTGGGCAGGGGAGAACCAGGGGGACCACCCGCTGCCCTGGGCAGGGGAGAACCACCCACTGTAGTGGGCAGGGCCCCGGGCAGCAAGCGGGACAGCCCCTCGGGGATTCCCAACCTCTTTCCCACCAGGACCCAGTGGTTGGACTGGGGGTGGGACAGGGCTGCCGCTGCCTCGGTTTCCCACTCTGAAGCAGGGGCTGGACTCTAGGCTCCTGCAGCTGGATAGTGCCCCTCAGGCTCTGGCCTTCTGCAGCGATGGTGGCGACCTGGTGCTGGCGCTGGGCTCCCGCCTCTGCCTGGTGTCCCACAGCCTCTACCTACCCACATCCTATCTGGTTAAGGTGTGTGGTGGGGTGAGGGCGGGCGAAGTGGGGCTGCTGCCCCGATAGGTCCCTTATGCTGGAGCCCCTGCTCCTCTCCCTTCGCAGAAGCTGTGCCAGATGTCCCCGAGTGTGGTAGACGACCCTCCGCTGCCGCTGACCAGCCAGGAGTCGCTGACAGATGCCCAGCTGCAGATGCTCTCTGACCTGCAGGAGAAAGCCAGCCTCAGGTCTCTAGGCTGTCAGCCCTGCTCACGGGGAGGCCCCACCCCTGGACTGGACTGGCTCTGTCCCCCAGCACAAGGGCTCGGGACTCCGGGGCTCCTTAAGGGCTGGGAGAAGCCCATCCCGTGCTGGCACCCCTCTTCTGGCTGGTCCTGTCCCACTGGCAGTGCTCCCCAGCACCCCACCTGTGCGTGTCACCCGTCCGCAGTGCGGCCCTGTCCTTCATCCAACTCCAGACACCAACGCTTGAGCAGCCAGTGTTGAAGGAGGTGGGTGGGCAGGCCCTGACTCCTCGCCACTCCAATGCTCCAGGCCCCGGCCGCAATCCTCGAGTCCCTGGGCGGCCCTGGGACCCCCTGGGCAGCAGAGAGCAAGTCTCAAAGAAGCCCAGCCTGATCTCTCATACCCACTGCAGGATTTAGAGGCCCTGCTGGCCCGGGATGAGGACCTGCAGCAGTTACAGCGGGGGCTACTGGCCTCTGCAGCCCAGCCTCCTCTCTCCTTGAAGCAACAGCAAGAAGCTTTTAACAATTACCTGTGTCTGATCTATGGCCATGGCCTGGCGGTGGGTATAGGGCCAGACCTGCCCTGACCCTGGGCTCCCCCTCACCCCAGGCCTCACAGAGCCCCCTCCTGCCTTCCCCAGGGCATGCTGTCCAGAAAGGAAGACCATCAAAAGGACACCTTAGACACCACCATGGCCAGAGAGCTGGAGGACAAGTACACCACAGCCAGAGCCGCCTCTTGTGTCAAGCAGTCTGCAATCAGCAGCGAATCCCAGACATTGCCCACACCCCCGGTCCCTCAGGCCTTAGGAGCCCTGGACCAGCGCTCTGCCCACCCTCCTCCAGCTTCCTTGCACACTCCACCCTTCCGGCAGAGGGTGCACAGCAAAGCCTCCGAGGTAAGACCTCCTTTCCCTCCCAAGCCTGCGCCTGACTGCATAGCGCCTGCCTCCGCCTCCCTGTAACTCTGCTGATGCCCTAGCTCCTGGCCAGATCCTCCCTGAGCTGTGTCCTGGGTCTTAGTCTGGACCTGCAGCTGAAGTCAGACAGGCTCCAAGGGAAGATGCCCACGGCGGTGGGTGTGCCGCCGTCCCCGCAGCAGAAGGTGGGGGGCCGCACGGGCGGGCATCCCCTGCCCAGGCCAGCTGCTCCTTCTTCTCTGAGCCCCTCCCTTCCCCAGGCCCCACGGTTGCCACATAAACGGCACAAGGAATCACTCTCAAAGCTCAAAGGCTTCTTTCCCGCCACCACAGAACCCTACAAGGTGAGACCCCCGGTCCCGCTCTCCCAGAGCAGTCCCCTTCCAGGGTCACTCTTCCTGCATGCCCCATCTCCCTTCCCCCAAAACCTGTGTGTTCAATGACCCCCAAGGCTCATACCTATCTGCAGCCCGGACAGCCAAGCGGCAAGTCCCTGTGTCCCCTCCCTGCCTGGCTCCAGTTCTGGTATGGCCACATCTACAGGCATCGGCTCCTTGCTATTTCCTGAGCCTGGGCCTGAGCCAGGAGTCCCACACGCCCAGCTTTGCCTGCACATCCACCACGTAGCACATACGCGTCCCCACGCCAGGGCTTGAGCTGCATCCTCTGGAAAGCATGGGAGGGCTCAGGGCTCTCCACAGTCCAGCTCACCTGATTTTGGTCCTCATTTCCAGCCTGTGTCCCCTGTACTGCCCCCCCCCACACATTTTGCTTTATAACTTGCCTGGCCCTCCTGTGTGGAGAGGGACTGGCAGCCCAGCCTGGTTCTTGGGAGCCTGGCAGGCAGAGCTGAGCCACTGGGGATGTGTGGCCCCGAGGGGCCCGCGTGGGTGTCTGGGCAGAGGGTCGGGCTCTCAGCCGGCCCTGGTGCTGCCTGCAGCGCCACCCACGGCCCATCAGCTTCCCCGGCTACGTGCCCAACTCGGTGGTGCTGCAGCGGATGTGGCTGTCTGAAGAGGTGACCACGGCCGACCTTGTCTCGAATAGACTTAAGGTACAGGCAGGGCGAGGGGTGGACAGAGGGTGCTCCGCTGGCCTCACAGCCGCCCAGACGCCTCCGCTGCCTCCTCCCGCCTGCAGTCCAGCCTGTACTCCCAGTGGCTGCGGCACCACCGGCACTCCGAGAACAGGTGGCGGCGGAGGCTGGCCCGCTGGCTGTTTAGAATCCTCACAGGGAATGAGGAAGAAGAGGAGGAAGAACTCAGGGACTGGGAGGAAGACCAAGACAAGCTGAAGTTTGACTGGTCTTCACCTTCTCTGGACCAGAAGCAACGTACTTTCGGGAAACCCAAGGTCCCAGCATGGCCGGCCGCCGGGGGTGGGGGGGTGCCCCAGCCTGCGGAGCGGAGCCTGAGACTGCTGCCGCTTGCCCTAGACTGCCCTGGACTTAAGCGTGAGGCCCCGGGGCTTCACAAAGGAGCCCAAGACCTCGCTCCCCCACCGCCACTCCCAGCACCACCACGAGTACTCGCCCTGGGAACAGCGCTATGGGCATCTGCCAAAGTTCCTACAGTTTCTCGTTGTGCAGAACTGGTTCAAAAAGCTGTTTCCCAACTTCACTCTGGAGGTTTGGGGGATGCTGGGAGGCTGAGAAGCCCAGGCTGGAGGTGGGTGGGGGGAAAGGAAGAGCCCACCTTTGGGCAGAGTGGGAGGCAGGGTCTCAGGACACTCCCTGCAGGCCTACCCAGAGATGGGCACCGTGGAGGGCCTGGCCTCCGTGTTGGTGAACCTCCTGCTGGAGGCCACCTGGGAAGACCGTGTGAAGATCCTACTTTCCCTGGCGAGACTGCTGCCTGACGTGACTGGTAAATTCCGTGAATGGCTGCGGAAGGTCCTCCTGCACCTGCTCAACCTGGACCCACCCCCCAGCTTCGAGGTGAGCCCCTGCGCGTGCGCGCGCGCGCCCACACACACACACCGCCTCTGCCAGCCACAACCCTCCCTCCCTGTGCTCAGGACCAGATGCAGAAGCAGTTTGTGGTGCTGGCGCTGCAGCTGCTCCTGGCCTGCTCAGAGGACTGCAGAGACGTGGTTGTGGAGCTCATGTCCTACTTCCTCTGGTCTCCGGCCCGCTACCTGTGAGTCCTGCTCGGGTGAGGGCCTCTGCCAGCAAGGGAGGCCCAAGTTAAGTCACCCACCCCATGCACCTGTCCCAGGCTGGAGGTGAAGGAGCTGCTGAACAGGCTGGGCCTCCAGGACCCACAGGACTTACTGTACGCAGAGATGCTGACCTGGGTCCGAAACCAAGACATCCGCTCCAAGGCTGTGGTGCGAGCGTACTGCTGTCAGAAGCTTGATGACATCACCCAGCAGCTGGAGGTTTGGGAGCTAGGGCCAGGTGGCCTTCCCAGAGGGAGCTTCCCCCCTTCCCCAGAGCCCTGAGGAAGCACCAAGTGGGGCCCTAGGAATACCAGCTCATGCTCCGTGCCTCCATGTTTCTCCCGCTGCAGCTTCTCTCTGGATCTCTTTGTTAGGCCGAACTTCAGGCAGGATGGAAGTCTGGAACCCGGTCAGGGCAGGGTACCCCCCAGGCGGGCCTAGCGCTCGGGCTCAGCCAAAAGGGAGTTCCAGCTCAGGAGGAACAAGGGTCCTTGCGCTCTTGGCTGCTCTTGGCCGCTCTTGGCCGTTCCTCCACAGACAGAGACCTTGAATGCACCTCGTTTTGTCCCGAGTCAAAGCTGCTGACGTCTCTGTCCCTCCAGGAGCTCGTACCACCCAGAGCGCAGGAGGCGGGCATCGTGAGGGCGGTCCCACAGGTCCCCGCGCAGCTCTCTCCGGCTGAGCAGGAGACGCCAGACCCCGAGCAGGAGTTCTGGCGCATGCTGCTGCAGTTTCGTGCTGGACCAACCAGGAAAGAGCTTTCTGAGGTTCTGCAGGCCTTCTGCTCGGGGCCCCTGCCTGCCGCCTCCGTCCTCCTTGAGCTTCCTAGTGTCCTCTTGCCACTGGAGAAGACCCTGTGGGCCTGCACGCGGAAGCTGAACATGGGCCCCATCAGTGTGCTCAATTTGTTCTGCCAGCAGCAGTGGATGCAGCTGCAGAGCACCACGCAGGAGGCTGAGCTCCAGCCTCCGTTACCAGCCTCACCCGCGGACCAGCTGGTACCCAATACTGTGGTGCGACCGCCCCGGGCACGCTGGTGCGTTGGGAGAGGATGGGGGCATGCTGCTGCCTGGGGCGGCCAGGCAGGACTCGCCACGCGTGAACCCTCCCTCCAGGTTCCACCCTATCCTCCGGCTGCAGGAGACCAGCCCTCAGAGCTTGGGCATGAGACTGCGGGGTGAGTGGGCCCCGGGATGAAGAGTGGACGCGGGTCCCCGGCCCCCACCCCCCAGCCTTGCCCTTGGCCTCACTGCTCTGCTTCCAGGCTCCTTCTGCCCCCACCACACCCGCAAGCTGGACGGCTCGATCCGGGTGCTGAAGCTGCCCCTGCCTCGGATAGACCTGCAGCCCTTCCCCCCGGGCTGGCCCAACCCCCCCCGGGCGCTGCCCCCCCTGCTCCTGCAGCCCACCCTGCAGCGGTACTTTCTGCCTGAGGATGCCGACCCTGACAGCTACCAATGACATGGCAGCGACCTCTGGCCCCTCCCTTGAGCCTGGTGAGTCCCAACAGCCAGGCACCCACGTGGAATAAAGCCCAGAGGCGTTCGCCAACATACCAGATGCTTCCTCCATCCTCCAGGCGGGGGCTCTCAGGGGTAGGGCTGCGGGTCGGAATAGTTAGCTGGCGGAACAGGTGGGGTGGTCACTTGTGGTGCGGGACAGCACCTGGGACGTGGTGACCAGGGGGGAAGAGCAGCCCTTCCGGTGGAGGGACCACGTGTCTATAGAGAGCATGTGTAGCAGTTACCCAACGGTAAGGAAGCCAACTGACCCTAGAGTACAAATGGTCTTTGACTTCTGGCTTTTTCTGGTTAATTGAAGAGTCTCACTGACTTTCCTGTCCAAGCTAGCTTTGATCCACCATCCTCAGATCAGACTCCTGTGTACCTGCGTAGCTAGGATTATAGGCATGAGCCACTAGTGCCTAGTTCCATTCTAGCTTTTTTAGTTATCTGACTTTGTGTGTGTGTGTGTGTATTGTGTATACATGTGTGCTTTTACTGAAAGAGGCTTAAAGTCAAGGCCTTGGCTTTCTTTGGGGGGAGTGGGGGCTGCATACTGTTCCTCAGCTCTTCAGCTTAAGGCAAGCACTCTACCACTTGAGCCACAGCACTACTTCCAGTTTTCTGGTGGTTTATTGGAGATAAGAGTGTCATGAGGAAGTGGTGCTGTGCCTCAAGTGGTAAAGCGCTAGCCTTGAGCTGAAGAGCGCAGGGACAGCGCCCAGGCCCAGAGTTCAAGCCCCATGACCGACCAAAAACAAAAACAAAACAGGAGTATCATGAACTTTCCTGCCCAGGCTGGCTTTGAACCATGATCCTCAGATCTCAGACTCCTGAGTAGCTAGGATGATAGGCATGAGCCATAAGTGCCCAGCTTTGTGAGGCTCTTATAACCAATTAACCACCAGAAAACTGTAAGTGGTGCTGTGGCTCAAATGGTAGAGCACTAGCTTTGAGATCAAGGACAGCACCCAGGCCTGGAGTTCAAACCCCATGACTGACAAAAAAAAAAAAATTTTTTTTTCACGGGCTTTCCTGTGTAGGTTCAGCCTTCTGAGTAGCTAGGAGCCTAGTAGCATGAACCATTGGAACCCAGCAAGAATGTTCTATGTGTGTGCCAGTATTGGGATTACAGCCATGAGCCACTGACACCCAGCTGGCTTTCTAATTTTTTTCTTTTTAAAAACATTGTTTAGGAGCTGGGAATGTGGCTCAGTGGTAGAGCACTTGCCTTGCATGCATGAGGCCCTGGGTTCAATTCCTCAGCACCACATAAGAAAAAAGAAAAAAGCTGGAAGTGGTGCTGTGGCTCAAGTGGTAGAGTGCTAGCCTTGAGCTGAAGAGCTGAGGGACAGAGCCCAGGCCCTGAGTTCAGGCCCCATGACCAGACCCTCCCCCCCAAAAAACCCCCCCAAAACATTATTTTTTGTGCCCAGCTTGGGACTTGAACTCAGGGTTTGGGTGCTTTCCCTGAGCATTTTTGCTCCAGGCTAGCATTCTACCATTTGAACCACAGCTCCACTTCTGCCTCTGTGTGTATATAGTTGGAGTTAAGAGTCTCAGACTTTCTTGACCAGGCTGGCTTCAAATTGTGATCCTCAGGTCTCAGCCTCCTGAGTACCTAGGATTATAGGTGTGAGCCACCAGCACCCAGCTAAAACCTATTTTTGTGTGTGTGCTGGTACTGGGGTTTGAGCTCAGGGTCTGGCCAGTCCTTTAGCTTTTTCTTTTCAAAGCTAGTGTTCTACCACCTGAGCCACAACTCAACTACCATCTTGGTGGTGATTAACTGGAAATAAAAGTCCCACAGACTTTAATGTATAGGCTGGTTTTGGATGGTGATTCTGAGATCTCAGCTTCCTGAGTAGTTAGGATGACAGGTGCCAGGCCAGCCACTGGCTCCTGGCTTGGGTACTGTAGTCTTTGTGTGTGCGGGGCTGGGGGTGGGGGTTGTGGGGCTTAAACTCAGAGCCTGGGCACTGTCCCTGAACTCTTTTGCTCATGTGACTTTGAGCCTCACTGCTACTTCCAGGTACTGTAGTCTTATGAGATGTGGATAGGAATACGCAGTTCTTGCCAGGAGGGGACCAAGTCTCTTCTTTAGATAGAGACTGCCCAGGGAAAATTGCTCTGATGAAATGTTGCCAGACTTGTGCATGGTTGGAGAAAGAGCATTGCAGGCAGGAACAGTGCAGATGCCCAGAGCAGCCAGCCCCGTGCCTGGCGGGGAGTAAGTACATAAAATCGTTGGCTTTGGTTAAGTGCCTTCCTTTGCCTGGTGTAATGGAACTCAGTCGGCAAGAAACAGAGAAGTCACCTTTTGAGAGGTCCAATTGGGAGTCTTTGTTGGGGCGCCAGTCCGCGGCGGACTCGGACTCGTCTCAAAGACCTCAGCCCGGACCAAAGCTCGAAGGAAGCTTTTTTTGGCCATGGGCTTGAGCTCTGGGCCGGGGAAGCGCTCTGGCGCCACGTCCAGCGTCCGGTGTCGACGGGAGGTCGGGCCCAGGGCCGGCGCTGCCGGGCTGGCCGTGGCCGCGACCCTCGATCTCAGCTCCTGAGCCGCCGGCCGCGACCGCCTTGGACAGCGCGTTTGTTAACGGTAAAGACGCTGCCCGGAGGGTCCCGGCTGCGTGAGCGCGGTTCTGGGTCCGACCCTTGTCGCGGGTGCGGCTCACGTCCAGCAGCCTGGCGCGGAGCCGGGGCCGTGGGCTGTCGCCGCGGAGGCTC